ACCGGTCACCGGAGCGGTGGGGGTGGGTTAATTGTGTGTATATATATATATTAATTAATTAATTAATTAATTGATATCTTTTTATATATTTAAATATATAAATAAATATTTAGAAATATGTGTATATATAGGTCGAAAAATCTAATTTTTGAAATGTGAAAGTTGTTTTGTTATTTTTGAAATAGGGTAAAGATAAAGTAAGATAAATGAATTTTTCCATATATATTATGCATGTTCGTCATTATTTTTGTCCCGTAAGTCGTTTTTATTAATGACTAAAAATCTCAATTGAAAAAGAAAATATTTCTGATATAAGTCATTACCTTTTTTTTTTTAATTCAAATGAGTACAATATTTTCTAGAAAAGAAATACATACCGAATAGAAAAGCAACCACCTATATCAGTGAATAATCTTATTTTTTTATTTAAAAATAGTTCCAAAAAATTGTACTACTAAAATAAAAAAATTGTATTTTTGTTAAGCATTCATCCATTCGGTGTTTCACATTATTTATTTCGAAAAGTATAAAACTATTATTCGTTTAATATACATTACAATATAAGGAATTATATTGTTGAGAAGTTGACCAAATCAAATGAAAATATAAAGAAGTATTGTTCTTGCCACAAGGGAGGGAAAACAATTAAAAGAAAACAAAAAGAACGAAATCCGCATGGATTGGGTTTTGAACCCGACGTGAATCGAACACGCAACCTTCTGATCTGGAGTCAGACGCGCTACCATTGCGCCACGGATCCGCGGATGGTAACTGTATTTCATTAAATTTATATATTGTATAGATACGAAATGGCCTGCAATCCCCCCTCCAAAGACCACCGCTCCACCACCGTGACATCCTTCTCTGCGGCCAAATTTCCTATGTTTTAGACCTCTCAACAACAGCCTACTTCAGCCAGTTACAGTGATCCACTTCGAATAATGAGGACGTGAACATCATTGTGTACAATGAATTATGTACGTGTAGCATAATTCATTTTTTTCCTCTTGCATTGAACTCATCGCATAACATTGTATAGATGGGTGTTTTAGTATTAATGTTGCTAGATTACATTATTTAATAATAAAAAGCAATTAATTTTTCAAGAGAAAAAAAAGAAAAAGCAAATAGCGTAATAATAAAACGTATTCATTGTACAAGACCATGACGGCCCGTCCTATCCTTGGTAAGAAGCAAAGAAAAAATGATTTCAAGCAAAATGTACAGTTTATTTGGTCCTTGAGAAAGGCGGGGGACGGGGGTTGGTGCCTTTGAATTTTATTCACATTATTTTATGGTCAAAAAAAACTTGTAAAAGTCACACATTGCGTATAGTAGAGGTGGCGATGAGTCACACATTTTATCTTTCGCAACTTAAATTCCACATTTGACTTTTTAACTTTGTGACTTTTCAACCAACTACCAAGCTGGCATGTCTCTAGCAATGACTCCATGAGACACTCAATTTTTAAATAATCGACCAATAAGGAAAATATGTGTTATCACCTTCATCCACATATTTAATTTTTGTTTCATATATGACCCGTATAGATGAACTCGTTATTAATAATCAAGGAAATATAGTAACATGA